CAGACGAACGGTGGGCACACGTTTGGGGGGACCGGACACGCCGGCTGCGGGATCAGGTGTGACAACCGCAGTTTGGCAGTTGGCAGACGGGACCGGGGTTAGTTCAGCAGGGGCGAAGCGGTCAGAACGGCCCCCTCGCAGAAGCGGCACGGCTGCTTGCTCGCTGGCAGGAAGGGCCGACGTTTTAAGGAAGCTCGCCGAGGCGTCCGCTGTCGCCGAGGGTCTGTGGCGAGCGGCTGGAATCCGGGAAATAGCGTTTCGGAAAGGCGCTGCACGGGGGTCCACAGTCGGCAACGGCTCCGAGGTGCGGTCAGCTCCATGGCCGGCCACCTCGTGACCCAGGTCGCCAGGACTTTGGGTGAGCGCCCTGGGTGTCTGGATGAGCGTGTGTGTGCGCCCGTAATTGGGAAAAGCGGACCTGCTGAATGGAATAGTCTACGACCGTATCCACTCGCTCTTCCTAAATAGTACTTTGAAGGAGGCTCCCTAAATAAAAATAGATCTTTTAGGAAAACAAAGAAATACTACACTCCATGTCAATGGTTGTAGCGACGGTCAGGGTTATCTTTCTGAAGTTTGCTAGTCGACGGTGTCATGCACCGTCCGGCCGCAGTGCCGAGTCTGCGCTTCAGACTGCTCGTAAGTGTCGCCTGAACAGGGATGTCCCCTTGTCTCTCTCAGCAGCCCCTGGTTCACTGCCGTCCCGGCCGCGAAGGTCGGTGATATGAACAGGGCGATACTTCTCGTAGGTGTCCGACCGAGCGAGTCTATAAGTAAGGCGCGTCACTCTCGACTTTACCCCTACTTCGGGGCCAGCGATGCTGCGAACCCACTGGCTGCGTTAGTTAGCGCCGAAGTCCCCGACGTTGCATTCCAGGTTACCATGGCTCTGCTCGTATTGGGCCGCTTGCTCGATCCCTGTAGCATAGATGCTTTCCCTAGCGTCGTGCAATGCACCCGAAATGCGATTCTTGAGCTCCCCCGCATACTTAGATAGGGAACGGCTCGATTCTCCACTGCACCGTCTTAACCCGTTCTCCAGTGGAGATGGTAGCTCTTTACCCAGGTTCGAAAACGCTGGAGTAAATCCAGTCAATCTGGTTATGGTCATGCGAATGGCAAAGCCCATCTCGGCGATGTCCTCGTCCCAGTGTCTGTGCATGTCTCTCCGTTAACTCAATCAACATGCTTTTTAGTCCCGATTCAATCTTTCAGTGATAATTGCCAGGGAATGATGGGGTATGGTCCTTTTGTGTTTAATATTGAGCATAAAGCAGGTCTACGAAAACCTTGCTAGTGAAGCAACATGACCTATGGGCGTGCCAAAGAGCAGGAGAGTATCTAACAACTTCTCCCAGGTTTTCTCCGAAATCAGTTTAATGAAGGATACATCTCCACCCACTTTGAAAAACGATCAGTGATTGCCAGCAGGTACTGGTTTCCACGTGAACTCTTTGGCAAAAGGCCTACGATGTCGCAAGCGACTATCTCCCACGGGTGCCGACTCACCACCGACTGCATCAGACCCGGAGGTATGTCACATCACGGCTTCACCTTCTCGCGGGCAGGGCAGCTACGAGCCTACCAAAATACCTCCTGCCTCATCCCCAACCAGGTCCCGACGCGACATACCTTTTGAAAAGGCTTGGTGCCGCTGCCATGACCAGCCATGCTGAGTCGTGAAAGTACCCAATACACTACCTACGTAGCTTCCTAGCAATTACAGCCTTGAAGGGAGAGTCATTCCCCTCTTCTTTGTCGATCGTTGGGATGTAGTGGAGAAACTAGCCGTCTTCACCCAGCAGATATGACTCGAACGGCGAATCCATTCGTCCGTCAGCGTTTCCGGTGTTAACTGCAATTTCCGCCAGTTTTCCCAACATCACCCGACAAAACCCATCCGCCTTCTCGGCTTCGAGCAGCTCTTCCTTGCTTGCCGTTTCACCTAAGCCGCAGATCTTTGCTCTCTCGTGCAGCGTGCTACCGCCGCCACGAGTTCCGTGCAGCCTCCTACCGCCGCCATGGGCCTCGTGCAGCCTGCTACCGCTGCCACGCGAGTCCCGGCTGCTTCACCTCTTCACAGCCTCCTTTTCGCACTCCAGCGAATGCGCTGGGTTTCTCTCCAGTAACCCTTTATATTCTCCGTTCGCCCCCGCACTCTTCGCCGCCCACCGGTTGCGTCAGATACTTCCAGTCACCACCCTGGGGCGCCCAAAAGAGTGCGTCCGCGACCTTATTGGTCGAGCTTTTCCTTTACTCGACCGTATTTGAGCGGCGCTGCAGGGTTAATGTCCAATGAGCCAACCTTCCCGCCGGATTCTTAAGCCTCTGAATCCAGGTTAGCGCCGCATGGTCTGCTGAATGCCAAAAGTAGCAACGTCTATATAGGGGTCAAATTTCTTTAACGCGAACATGACGGACAACCCCTCCTTTTCCGTTACAGTCAACATTTAGCGCTGTGCCCAATTGTTGCAAAACCAGATCCATCATCGCCGTCTTGACACGCGAAGCTCTAGCCTCCGCTAGCGGCTGTAGGCAAGTGCCCTCACTTGCCGGGGCATCTCCGACAACGTCTGATACCCTCGGAAAACTAAAACCTGCGTAAACTTTTGTAATTAATAAGTTGAACATAAAGACTTCACAAAGCCTTCTTTTTTAAGCGTTTTTGAAAGTTATATAAAATATGCAAAAACATAATTAAGATAAGGCAATTCTAAATAGACACCTGCACTCTGTATCCTGAAGATCATACAGAAAATGTTTCATCACATAGTGAAGACTGTACATGCATAAAACGGAGTGTACAAACTTAGAGGCGTGCACAAAATTACAATATGAGAAAAATTAACTTAAATACTGAAAATATGCATGCTCCTTAAAACTCGCCCGCAATTACATAAAGTTAGGGCACAACATAGGTAAGGTGTCCAGGATTCATCCAGACTGAGTGGGACCTCCATCACTCTATGTTGTGACTTTTCTGGCCCCTATTGTGACATGTGCCATCTAACATCGTTACATTAACTGTTTCACCCACCTCGGCATTTGGGTCCTCACGAGGTTTTGGATGGCAGTTTTCGCAACAGCAGCATAAACCTACCTTCTTGCTAGTGAAGGTCTCGTGGTATGTGGAGGTCAGCAGGCTGAGAATCACGCTGAAGCGCGGAAGTTTGCGGATTTCAAGTTGCGTTGCGCTTACGTCTCCATCTCCACCTGATGCGGTACGTTTCGACGTAAACGTCGCAAAGCAATGGCCACTTGATTCGTAAAGGCCCTTTCACACACTTGCAATCAACCAGGACTAACTGGCACAAGAGCGTTTTTTAAGCCTCTTGTGACGGCGTAGGACATATTGCGCTGCTGCGAAGCAGAAGACGTCGCAAGAGACTTAAAAGCCGGTTTTGTCTCAGCCGGTCCTACTGGGTTGCAAGTGTGTGAACGGGCCTTAAACGTTTTCGAAGAACCCGATGGTGCTTTCAGGCACGTTTGGCCAACCAAGTCCGGTAACCTATTGGATTTTAAAAAAAGTTGATTTAATAATTAACATAACAAAACTAACATTTTGTTTGGTTTTTGTTTTTGCGGGGAAACGTTACAAGCGGACTCTCAGTCCGAAGCGCTTTCTGCGTAGTGCGCAAAGTTGGAATTTCGAACACCTACCCCAAAACAAACGCTGCGTGGTGTACAGACCTAAAATTATTTGCTGACAAAATAAGCATAGGAAGGATTGATTTCATGTATTTACTATTGAGTAACGACGTCGATAATTTGCAGAAAAACTCACAAACACGAAACATTGCACATTAATGCTTAAGTTTGATAAATTTTCACATCAATAAACCCTAGTACTTTTAAACCTTGCACGCCTGTCACCTCGTATTTTCTTAATTTTTTGCGCCAAATATAGTTGTACTGGTTAGCGGGACAAATATACGAGAAACAGTCAAATGGAGCCATTTTACTAAATTCGAATAATTTTGAAAATAAACGAAAATAAGGCCACCTATGATTTATTTTGAACTCCCAATATAAGATAGATCGGCAAAAAAATGTTTCATTACATTTGTGCCTTTAAAGTTATGAAGCGAGAAATCTGGTGAAAAAATTGGAGCTACCGCAGTGCCGTGAACGGGGACGTGTACATCCCCATAGTTGATAGGCTCGTTATTTTTACTGAGCGTAAAAATTCACGGGGGTCGTAAAATATCAACAAATTGACGGCACAGAGGCGGACGGTGGTTTCAAAGTGAGAATTCTACGCGCGTTTTTGTACTAGAGCCTCAGAAACTGCGCATATATGGGTCAAAGCACTCGAGATACGCTATCATGCAGCATGCTTCGCAGGGCCTGTTTTCAATAGCCGGTGTGCAACGTCTCTGTGCACACTACCGTAGCCTGCGATATACTGACAAAGCCTGGCTTATCGCCACGAGAAGCGGTCGCCGAAAAGGCAGACGACGGATGACAGGAGAACCACGTGACTGGCGCCCCGCTCCGGCGAGAGACGCCGAAACACACTTCTCCCGAGCGAACAAGTGTGTTTCGGGTCCTGCCCGTTGAAAAAGCTGTGCGCTGACGTCCAGGTTCCCCGAAAAATGGCTCTTTGATGCCCTGTGCTATACCAGATCTTCGCGCTCCAAATCTGCGACAGGGCACTCTATGGCTCCGTCGTCTTGACTCGGCCAATGGAACGCAGGAAGCGCTATGTACCCCCGTTCACTGCTAAGCTGACAGTGTGCTGGAAGCTACGTGCTTGTGGATACCTTTGTCTTTCGCCATGTGATCATGCTCCTGCTCATACCGACGCGGAGAGAGCGGGCTCAGGTGATGACAAAACGCTGGTTAAATGGCCCAGCGAGCACGCAGCTGATACAACACTGTCAGCTGAAAGTGTCACTGAATGGAAGAAAACAAAAATATTTTGTTTAAAAATCTAATCGAAACACGCGTGTCAAAAAATGTATGCGAAAAACATAATTTTAGAAAAATATCGCGCTGACATCGCTCATCTCCAGTTGCTCCACGTGGCCAACATCTACAGCGTACCCTTCACGGGCACGATGACGTCAAAAGACCTTCAAAATGCAGCGCCACCAGTGCCTATAAAGGAAACGCAAGCGGCTGCGGGCGTCAGTGGACACGGCGACCCAGCCGTGATGATGACGCCTAATGGACAACTGCTCATGCGGGTTGTTGATAGAAAACATGTTTTTAACACCAATTACCTCTGTTTGATTGTGTTTCCGTGTCCACACACAATTGCTGCTCGTGTATGCGATTGTTTCTTAGTAGCAGGCCCGTTGCTCATACTAGCTGGAGATGTGGAGGAAACCCCAGGACTTATTACGCAAGCAATGTTTAATGATATGATTCGGACACAAAAAAATATCCTTGCTAAAGTTTCAGAGGTACAAGTAAAACAGACTTCGTCGGAAGAAAGTGTGCAAAGCACTTTCTTCCGACAAATGCAAAACAGTCTACTTGCGATAGAAAAAAAAAGTGAAAGCCGTTTACAACTACCTGTAACGCCGAATTAGAGCGCAGCTCTTGAGGAGGAGGGAAGGGTACTGGGGGGGAAGGGTCAAGTGACCTTGGGTGGGAGTCACGTGACCTAGGGGGGTCACGTGACGATGACGATGCCGATGATGTCATCAGTAACGATGACGATGCGGATACCGATGACGTCATCGGTGATGATGACAATGACGATGCGGATGCCGGTGACGTCATCAGTGATGATGACGATGACGATGCGGATGCCGGTGACGTCATCAGTGACGTCACTGATGACGTCATCAGCGATGATGACGATGACGGTGCGGATGCCGGTAACGTCATCAGTGACGTCACTGATGACGTCATCAGCGATGATGACGATGCGGATGCCGGTGACGTCATCAGCGATGATGACGATGACAGTGCGGATGCCGGTGACGTCATCAGTGACGTCACTGATGACGTCATCAGTGATGATGACAATGACGATGCGGATGCCGGTGACGTCATTAGTGATGATGACGATGACGATGCGAATGCCGGTGACGTTATCAGTGACGTCACTGATGACGTCATCGGGGGTCACGTGACTTGGGGAGCCACGTGACTTTGGGTGTCACGTGACCTTGGGGGTCACGTGACCCTGGGGAAGGGGTCACGTGACCTTGGGGTGACCTTGGGGAGTCACGTGACCCCCGATGACCCTTGGGGAGGGGTCACGTGACCTTGGGGTCACGTGACCTTGGGATGACCTTGGGGGTCAAGTGACCTTGGGATGACCTTGGTTACGCCGACGCCGACGCCGCTCAAGCCAGGAACGGGCCCCTAAGAGCTGCGCTCTAAAACAAAAAAACTTGAGAGCGTAGGTGAAACTGAGAACAGGGTTGCTCAGCTTAAAAACTCTGTTAGTGACTATGATGTCGGAATGGATACTCTTGTAAAACAAATTGATGACTTAGAAAATCGTTCACGACGAAATAACCTTACCGTAAGGGGAATTAAAGAAGTGGCTTCAGAAAACGAGGATGTACTAATGAGGAATATTAACAATGAGGTGTTCGGCACTATATTAAATCAAAAACTGAACTCTATCCAACGTATACATCGACTTGGAAAAAAGATGATTGGTAGAGATCGCCCTGTAGTGCTTACAGTTGCGGATTTTAAAGAAAAAATGGCTGTCATGAAAAACTGCGTCAAGCCTAAAGGTACCAAAATTAGCATCAATGAAGACTATTGTAAGAGGGTTGTTGAGCTTCGAAAGAACCTGTGGATTTCAACCGCAGAGGAGAGGAAAAACGGTGCCAAAGTCAATGTGGTCTTTGATGAGCTGTGGCTTAACAATGTTCTGTCCGTCTGGAATGGAGTCAGCAATGAGAGATACACATTTCACGATCCTCCGGAAGCAAATAACGATTGACTAAAACGGAATGATTCAGCATGTTTTAAAATATTGAACGTAAACTCCAGAAATATTGCAAACAATGTTGACGCGCTCGAAAGCATAATGCTAGAACACGATTCTGAAGTGGCTGTAATTACCAAGACATGGCTTCACGAAAATATCCTGAACTCCGAAGTTATTCCTCCGAACTATTCTATGGTAAGAGAAGATACAGGGGGGAAAGGTGGTGGAGTTGCTATTATGATTAAAAATATCTTCAAATTTGATGTCCTTGAGTAAGTACGGGATGTGGAAGCATTATGAATCAAGATAAAATTGAATAACCGTAAAGTTTATATTGGTGGCGTGTTCAGAGCCCCAAATTCGCCGGTTGAAGTGCTGTTAAAACTAACAGGTTACATGAATTCAAATTTACGTTACGGAGACAACATATTGTTACTGGGAGATTTTAACTTACCTGGGGTTGACTGGTTATCATATTTTCCTGGAACGGCGGAAGTAGCTAGTTGCGATCGATTATTTAAACTTGTATTTTGCTATAAGTTAACCCAGGTGGTAACAGATTACACTAGAGTATGTTCAACAACGTCAACAATTTTAGATCTGTTTTCTTTCCCGAGAGTTTAAAAACATCTTTTTCGAATTGTGAAACCAAAGAAGGTGTATCTGATCATAGGATGGTACTCGTCTGATTGAATGTTACTCCAGAAAAATCGCACAGTCGTTCACGAAAGATGTTTTTGGATTTTAAAAGTGCTGATGATGTAAGCGTACTTGATTGCCTTGAACAATTGTTTAATGATTTTATGTTTCTTTACCAATCAAATGCTAGCCCAGACATGTTATGGGACTATTATTACAATGTGTTGAAGGATTTATACCAAAGCGCCCTAAAAAAATCAGGAACAAAAAGGCTTGGAATACATGAAAAATAATTCATGGAAAAAGACAACTGAAGCGAAAACGAGCGAGTTCGCATGGTACAGGTGTAGAAAAAAAAAAGAAGAAAACTTGCATTCAGCGATTGAGTCGGGAGCTGAGGCGTCTAGCTAGAAAGACTAAAGAAAGGTTTTATAATATAGCACTTAAAAAGTCCTAAGCGAGGCACCTAATAAGTTCTGGCAGTACGTCAACCCTTCGGCCAAGTTCCAGCAGCGTGCCTCTGACCCAAAAAATGAAAAGCAGAGCGTTGAAAATTTTAGCCCTTTTTTTTCATCCGTCTTTACCAACGATGATAGAAATTTGCCAAGCTTTAGTGATTCTTTCAACAATCCTCCCATCAATCATTTAGATATAAGTGAGCAAGAATTGTTTAACCAACTACTTAACGTCGACACAAAAAAACAGCCAAGGTCCAGTCAAAGTTCCTAATGAATTTTTAGAAAGGTATGCTGAGTGGGTTTCTAACCTTACTATCTTCTTTAGATTGTCTATGAGTAGGGGTTCTTTTCCCAGCGCGTGGAAAAAAGCAAAAATTATACCCGTCCACAACAATGGTAGTGTTAATGACGTCTGTAAATTTCGCCCCATTTCTCTTACTAGTACATGCTCTAAGCTTCTTGAGTATATCATATCTAAACATCTACTGGCTTACCTTGAAAATTATGACATATTATTTAAATCACAGCATGGTTTCCGCAGAGGTGTTTCCATGGCTACCCAGCTCATAGAAACTGTTCATGATCTCTCTCAAAGGATAAACAGTCGTGGTCAAACTGATATAGTATTTCTGAATTTTGCAAAGGCGTTTGACAAAGTTTCTCACCCAAAATTGTTATTGAAAATCAGTGCTGTCTTTAAAAATCCAGTCATCACGAAGTTGTTTTCTTCTTATCTTTCATCACGGGGACAGTATGTTAAAGTTGGGGGGAAGCAAATTTACTCTGTCCCCAGTTGTTTCAGGCGTACTCCACGGGATTATCTTTAATCCTCTTTCATTTTTGATTTTTATTAACAATCTGCGCAATGACATCTCAGTTCCAATCGGACTATTCGCTGACGATTATGTGATTTACAATAAAATTTGAAACATCAGATGATGAAATCGAATTAAACTGTATCTTAGAAAAAATTATGAAGTGGTGTAACAATTGGCAAATGGTGCTAAACCCTGAAAAATCAGTCTTCATGTCTATTACGAGAAAAAAAATGTTTTGGCTTGTAATTCTTGCATTGCGGGCGCTGAGCTTGAGAGAGTAAAAGAACATAAATACTTAGGCTTAATATTTACTCCTGATATAAAATGGAACACTCACATTGATAACGTATGCATCAAAGCTAATAAAGCATTGTGGTGCCTTCGACAAAACCTCCATGTTGCACTTCTGTAATAAAAAGTATGGCTTATATGACAGTGGTAAGACCCGTCATTGAGTATTCGAAAAGTGTATGAGACCAATATCCCGTTAGAACTTGCAATAAGCTGGAGAAAATTCAGCGACTCGCACCCAGGTTTATTTTTAATAAATGCAGCCACGTTCATTCCCCCACATGACTATGTGAGCTCGTCAATCTTCCTACATTTCGATCAAGAACGAAATATGAAAGGTTCAAAATTCTTTTTTCAGATTATTTATAATCGCGTAAAGATAAAGAAATCTGAGTACTTTGAAATTTGCTCCACCGTATCCTCAAGACATCGTCTTAGCATGTACATTCCTAGACCATCAGTTAAAAACGATTTGCTTTATGTAAGGTTTTTTTTTTCCTAGGACTATTAAAGATTGGAATATGTTACCTGATTCCGCTGTGTCATCTATGTGGCTAAATGAATTTCTGGAGCGTATTACTGGTGTTGTTTCATGTGCTACAAATTAAAACCCCTATAGCTTGTGTAAAGAAATGTTTCTAAACTATGAAGTGATCCGTTCCGTAAACTGCCGAAATTACGAATCGTCTCAATATACTTGTAACCTTTGTGTATGCTTGCATATAAGCGTGCATATTTGTTTGTTGTTGTCTTTTTTTGTTTTCACCCCTGTAGTAGCCCTGTGCAAGGGCTGACAGTATCAATAAATGAAATATTGACGGCGCGTGACGCAATTTAGTCGGTTATCGCCTCCTTTCCACTCGTTTTCTCTCTCGACATTTCGGGCGCGTGGAGGAGAGGTGGATCGGCTTCGCCTTCACGTGGAGGTGGAAAGAGTGTATGACCATCTCGTTCAGGTGGAAAGTGCAAGTGACCATCTCGTTGAGGTGGAAAGAGTGTATGACCATTCCGCGACGTCATGGACTTTGCGCAGAGTTTGAAATAAGTCTCGCGCCGTAATATTGCTCTAAACATTTTTTTCGCGTAATGTTTTTTTTTTTGTCATGCGTTTCTTTGGCAGAGATTTAAAAAAAAACTTTTTTGCTTTAAGTGTTTTTTTAGTTAAAGGGGCGGTGTAACGATATTCAGTGTTTATGTTTGTTTTTTCACTTTAAACAAAGTTACTGTCACTAGTGGGACCCGAATACATTTGCACGCAACTCCACTGACAAAGAACCGTTTATGTTGTGGTAAAATTTTAAGAAGAAAGCGAGCATTTCCCTTGAATATCTTTCTTGCAGAATTGGATGAGCATGCATTTCAACCACCCCCACCCCCCCCCCCTCCCCCTGCCGAAAGAAATGCTTTGCTACGCCACTGGTAACGCAGCTCAGAGTTCGCAGTGTTGTCATAGTATTCCGAGTGACGATACTTGGATGCAGATCCTAAACTGGGCTCGAGCGTTGCATGAACACTCGATATGGGCCCCTGATAAATAATAATTCAACAAATATTCGGGTAGTGGCGCGTGTGCAATCGTTGCAATGACGACAATAGCTAAACCCTAGCAATGTATGGAAGTCAGCGCACGTACTGTGCGCTGTCAAACCCTGGCGTGTGGCTATGATGAACGTTGGCGGCATACAATCCGCTGCATAATTTGGCTGCGAGCTGAGGGAGGGGGGGGGGGGGACTGCTGCTTGTTTTTGATTATCTCTTTATGACTAGCATTGCCTGAATAAAAAAAACTAACGCGCGGTGTATGGGCTATAAACTTTTTTTTTAAGTAATAATGCCAAAAACACAGACAACTACGAACACAAAGTAAACAAATACAAGGCGCACTCGCAACTGTTGTTTATTCTGAAAAAAAACAACGGAAAAACAATCATAATGTAGGCCCAAAACAATGTGTCATTCATCACCGTGTTGATGCATTGCTTGTCTACTATATGCAAACTCTTTCTTCGATAGGGCAAGTGACGCTTCACTTATACGATCTCCACCGTTATCCTTGATTTCAGACGCCTCATGCAGCTCTCTGTTATGTCTATCGTGGTACCGAGCCAAGTTTTAATGTCGCGTAGAACAGGCGTACATCGGCATGTGTTGCAATGGATATCAAGATGACCAGAGGGGCAGGCTCGCGTGTCAGGCGTATGGTCGCGGGTGTGGTCATTCAGGCATCTGCCCGTCTGGCCAATATACACAGCGCCGCATGACAGAGGTATTTCATAGACAACACCTGAGGAAAACTCAGCAAAATGTGTTTTGTGCTTTCTGCAGCAAAGATCAGACTGTTGCCCGCTGCTGTTGATTTTGTTGCAAAGTCGAACCATCCGATTTGGAGCTGAGAGTTTGCCACGAAATAGACAGCACCAAGCAATAGTCTGATCCTTACTCCTCGGGTCACGAGTGAAACTTGGATGTAGAGTCGTAGCAAGCCACAAAACATGCGATATGATATAGCGCGTATGAAGCGCCCTCTATGGCTCTAGTGCGAAAAAAGCGCCAAGAATTAGAACCTAAAAAAAAAAAAAAAACGTCCGCCTTTGTTTTGCCATTTTTTTTTTCTGACTACCCCCTGAGCAATTTTATGCTCTGCAAAAATAATTAACTTGTCAACAATGCGGATGTACGGCACTGCGGTAGCTTCAATTTTGCCATGTTTCTCGCTTTATATGACAAAAGACACGAACGCATTGCAGCGTGTCTTTGGAAGTTTTGTTAGTACATACCGTTGAGCTTAAACTGAAAGAGTTTAAAA